AAAGTATACGGTATATGGCAATATGTCGATCCACAATGTTTAAAGCAAGGCCCAAATCAATATTATCGCCGAACAAACAAGTACGACATATATAGTTTGGGCGTCCTTTTATGGGAAATTTCTGCAGGGCGACCACCTTTTAAAGGCCATGGACAACAAACTATGTATCGAGTCATTGACGGTTATAGAGAAGCTAAAATCGACGGAACACCTGATGAGTATGTGAATATTTATTCAGGTATGTCATAATCTTTATTATGCGTAATAATTTTACGTCTAAAATTAATGATTTTGTTTAGAATGCTGGAAGGATAACCCTGACGAACGTCCTGATAGCATAACAGTTTTCGAACGTCTTAACAGCATGGATCATACGTTGCCTGAATTTAGTGCGATAATTGATAATGATCATGATCAAAATAGAAGCATCAGCAATGAGTATTGTAACGACGGAAGCACAGAGAGTTATCGGAACAGCGCTGACGATGATCTCTATTATGGATCGAGAAATGACACTTTAGGAAGCAATGTTTCCGAAGATAGTTATTTTCCCAGCCATGAAATGAGCGTTGTTGCAAATAATAGTTTATATAACAGAATGATTTTAAATTTTAATGTTCCTTTGCAACTTCCGTTCGACATTCAATGCGGAAATTTCTACTTCGATGATGAAAAATTAATAGAATCATTCCAAGCCCACCCCACCACTAGCAGTGATTTGTTGTTGCTTGATGGAGAAGGTTGTCAAGATATTATAATCATAACAAGAGCTTTTGCTAATCAGACATTAAGGTTTAACCTAAGCCACATCGTAACTTGCAAGAAATTAACAGCTCGGATAGTCCCTCCTAAACAACTACGGCGGTTTATTAGCGAAATCTTTAGTTCTCTGAAAGTTTTTAATCCAACAGAAAATGTAAATGCCACGATCCTCAAAGAAAGTACTATTGGCTTCGATCTTCCGGAGGGCTTGACTTTCAGGTTTAAAGAGTTCAAAGAACATAAGATTTTATTTGAACTATTTAATAATCAAGTCAGTGATCAACTCTTAAAACAAGTGCAAGAAGATGTAATTTTAAAAACAAGAAAAGGATTTCTAGAATTTCATCTAGAGGAAAAAGTGGTAAATGAAGAGCTGATGGACATGGCTAATAAATTTTTTGGCAGCGGAGGTCACGTTATAAAAATGATTTCAGATATGTTGGTTTACGATCATGTCAAGGAATTTGAGGAAAACACCGGTAGACTCTTAAATTCTTTCTTGAGAAGCAGTAATATTTATTTGCAGGTGGAAGACAGTAGTTTTGCATATAAGATGATTTCACGATACCATGGGGATTTATCAATGGGAAAATCTCTTATAGTCAAAACTAGTTATAATGAGAGAAGAGATTTGATTTGGATGTTGGATTTAATTGATGTTCCATGTAATTAGTGAACTTTTAGAATTTATGCCCCCTTTTTTAATTTTCTTTTATCAATGCATACATTTTATGATAGATTTACTGGTTATGTGATATTATGCCGTGTTCAAATAATCCAAATATTATTAATATTATTATTGGTTTGTGGCGTAACGAATTTTCTTATTTTCGGGTTCTTGTGGTAAATAAATAAATATATAATTGGTTAATGGTTTTTCACTTTAAGCGACTCATCGAAATAACCAATCAATCCTGTAGCAATATCCAGGATTATATGGCCATCGTTATTTTGAATTTAAGAAAATGATCAGTGAAAAGCTTTTGTCAAATCCTATTTTACGAATGGCGAGTTCGATGCATGCTGCCCTGATGCATGATTTTTTACCGATCAAAAAGTATTGATTTAAATATAAACTTAAATTAAAATTTTTATTGTCATTTATTAATAATTTGCATTTTTAAAATAATTTTTAATAACTGTCGAAAAATATGGTCAAATGAACAATATGGTGAGTGAAACGTACTGTTGTGCATTGATAAGTTAAGTTTTAATTTTGCTTTGCTTTGTTTTATAAATATTTTCGAATCTTTCAATAACAATTTTTCGAAGTAACTGACCAAGCTGTTCATCATTTTTGAGAATCTTGAGATACCGTCAAAAATGTTATATCGTAGCATCAAAATCATTGTTGTTTCCATTCCAGCGAATTTTTTGAAAACATCGAACGCTTTTACCTGTTTGCAATAATATCGATTTTGGGATGTCTTGACCATAATGGATTTCCAGTATCAATTATTAATGGTATAAATAACATAAAATGTAACCGAGTCTTGTTAGACTAAATATATTAAGATCCCATTAATAATGCTGTCCTTTGTTATTTATTATTTCGTAATTTATAAGATACAGCAAGCATCTCTAAATGCAATATGATAGGACCAAAATGAAAAATTAATTTTTTTTTGCATTCATAAAAATTTGCACTAGCTTATAGGCACCGATTATGCTCCGGGTTTACCATTTTATTTTTTAAAAAAAATTCAATTAAATAGAATAATATTAATTTTTTTATTATTTTATTGATTAAAACTAAATAGTTATATTATAATGTTTTATTCCAATAATATCAATTTTTTATTATTTAATTTTAAAAAAATAATTTTAAATGGCACATTGGAAATAATCTCTTTTTGCTAGTAATTATTTTTCAAATTTTTTTTTTATATTTTATAAACTTTTTGTAAAAAAAAGAAGCCAATAAAAAAAAAAATAGCAAAACATTATAATACTTAAACAATTAAAGAAAACACTATAAGATACTTTTAGTCTATATTTAAAAAAATAAATCACAAAATTGAACATCAGCTCTTTGTAAATTCAACTTCTAAATAATGAAAAAAACAAAAGACAAATTAATTTATGAAATAATTTTTAAAAATTTTTATTGGATAATAATAATAATTATTATTATTATTTTAATCCATAATCATACCACAATGGTGTGTCTTTATTGAGATATTGAAAAATATCTAAATATTTTACAGACTTTCACAAAGTGACTAACTCGTTATTGTACATTATTAGTTAAAGAACTACACTACTTAAAAAATATGAGGAGTTTACTAAGCTAGTTTGAACTAAACAAAACTAAGTCTAAACTAGGTACTCTAAGTCAGATTTAGGGAACAATATTTCACTCTTCTAGTAGATTGGCAATAGTGCCTCTAAGTCAACCAGGGTCATTACCAACAGTTTGTCACTGTTGATTATCCCGAAAAATGATGAATTACTAAAGTTGACACTGGAAAAAAGGGAAAGAAAAATGCAAATCAAAGTCCTTCAAAAGGTTTTTGCTCTATTTCACAGTTTTCTTCAAAAGGAGTTTGCCTGATTGAAATATTTCTAAGTTTCATGACATTTGAGGAACTTAATCATTTCTGAAAGTGACTCCAAGAAGAACATTTGAGGAACTTATCCTTCTTTTGATATACAAATTCGCTTATTGCTAGTAAGGCCAGCACTATATTATAGAAGAGTTTGCCTGATCAGGATAAAAAAATCTTTTCAAGAACTTTGCCTGACTGGGATAGAAGCTTGAAGACCTCAGCTTTTGTTCAAGAAAGCCTTTTCATTACCTGAGAACTTAATAAGAGATAGGTGTTGAATCTTTTTTTTTATATTCATTGCTTATCTTTCAGTATCAGAATTGTTTTCTAAAGGTTGAATATATACAATTAGAGGAAACACTTTTTCTAGAATTTTCTTTCCTACATCACCAATGATATATTGAGACATATGAGTGTGACCAATAAAAGCTTGTTTATATTTCAAAAACTGACATGTTTTATGTCAGCCAATCACCTTTGGTAAGAATTTGTGCTACCAAAAATTCAGAGTCAAACTGAGATAGGCAAAATTCCTCAGAAAACCATGAAAGAATAGCTCTAAGAGACCTATAAGTGACTGTAAGGGAAAAAATAAACCCTTCTATTATCAAAAACCTCTATATATCTCTCACTTCAAAGATTAAATGGGCCTTCAGGTACTTTACAGTCAGTTCTTCTTTCTTTGAGAACTTTCTTGTCATTGGTATCAAAGGTATTGCTTGACTTTTCTTGATCACTAGGAGTCAAGTTTTGAATGAAGAGGTTTGTAAACAATGGAGAAAGGGTATAAGGGACTCTTAAAGTTATACTTCAAGTTATTTTAAGGAAAGTATTAAGACTTTATTAGTAAGGAACTATAAAAACTTCTTGTGAACATCTTTTTTGTATGTGGACAGAGAATCAGTAGAAAGAAAGATTTTTATTTTTATTAAATAATTATTAAAATATTACTATAAATAAAATTTTAATTAAAAATAAAAATTGATTAAACTGTAATAAATTTTTATTTAAATTGAATAAATATATAAATTCTATTACAAAGATAAATTTCTTAGATAAAATTTTTATTTATAAATAAAAAAAATAATTATTTTATATATAAATTAATTTTAAAAAAGTTTTATATTTAATTATAATTATTATAAATAAGATTATTTATTAAAATAAAATACTAAAATCTTTAGTAATATTAAATAAATTTGTATAAAATTTAATATTTGAGTATTATAAATATATTTAATAAAATTTATTAATAACAAATTTTTTATAAAATATTAGTTATAAAAATTAAATAAAATATATTTTAATCTTAATTAAAATAAAAAAAATTATTAAATATAATAATAAATGTAAAATTAATTATTAAAAAATAAGTAATTTAATGTATAACAGTTTTATACTTGAATAGAACAATAAATTTTATATAAAATCAAAATAAATTATTATAGTTCAAATAAAATTAATTATACAGTTGCTTCCAAAAGTTTGAGTCCACTTACTATGTTTTTATTATAAATTTCAACTTTGACAATTTTTAAA